AAAAGGGAAAAAGTCACAAAACGGCTCGTTTGCCTGATGGCTGACGTATATTGCCAACCACACTCCCTCTCATTTTCCACCCCTATCCAGTTTCCACCCCCACCGGCCCACCTATACCGCCCCCGCGCACTACGTGGGCGGCTGTTGTGACCTCGTAGAGAGGAGAGGGGCGACCCTTCCCTTTATCCAGTGCCGTTACAATAAGAGCTCAGTGGCGTATTCGGCAGGGAGATTCTGTTTCACGATCGTCGATTGACGTACGATAAGATGATGAATTCGAAGTCGAGATCGAATTCGACTTCGGAAATCGTCGGTTTTTTAAATGGGATGATTTTGATCCAAAGAAACGAGCACCGAGGCGATAGCCCCAAAGCCATCACACATCTGAGGTTATGGTGATGATATTGTTTTTAAGAATTTCAATTTTTTCAACCCAAGACAAAAATAAAAATAATTCTAATTGTTCGAGATGGTATTTCAGCAGTTAAAGATAGGCAAAGAAATTTGGATCTAATTCGTCGAGACGACAATAACTAAGAAATAGAAATAGGTACCTACCTAATCGCTTTTCTCTACCTGAAAAATGATTTATTGAGCTATTTTGATTGAACATATGGTTGGTTCATCTCCTGAGACATTATTAGTGGATAGGACAAAGTATGAAGGGAATGGGTAAACAGAATCTCAAATATTCTGTGCATTGAGGTTTTATGCAACTGGATCATAGGTGATCATAGCAAAGATGCTACCTCATGGCATCTCTCAGGAGTTCACTCGCCAAGCCTCAATGAATTCATTTGGCTTAGCCTGATTCACAGTATTTTATTGATTTCACGACCATTAGACTCTGAAAATCATCCTGTGACTGTGTTCTGTGCTGTTCTAGAAAGGGCATCTCTGAGTTTGAACGACATCGAAAATTAATTATATATTATATTTATGAAGTAATAAGTTGATTACACACTTCCAAAGCTGTGCTTTCACATAAACAAGATGATCTAACCTCAAATTGGGATGAAGATGAAAAAAAACATTCGATGATAGATAAGAGATATACCTACGTATAAGATCTGTGCTACACAAGTACCTAATCAGTGTCTCAAATATCGAATAACAATTTCTTTTTGAACTTCAATGATCTCACACTTAAATTAGGGGCAAGTTGCACCATTTCATGCTCAACAAAATGCTGCGCTTCGAAATTATTTCTGGAGATATCCGGAAAAAAGTAAAATATGCAAAATCTTTTCCATTTATTACTCAGTTTATTTGGAGAGATATTAAAAACTGAATGTCACTTCATCATAGCTACTTTTCCTCCTCTACAATATGGAATTGTCAAATTGGAAATCCGACGTTTCTTCTTCGAGCGGCCATCATCAACTTTATTTTTTTGAATACGGACCTGGAGTATCACTTTTACTCGTGAAATTTATGCGTTGCGAAGTAATTATTACGAAATAAATGAATTTGTTGCCAAACTTTTTTCATTTTTGCTTCTCAGAATCTGAATACGTCAGTCGATTAGAAAGTAGTAGTGAAATAGTGAAATAGGTATTCCATGAAAAAATCAGACGAATCAAATAAGGAGCAGTTGGAAAGTAATGACCAAAAGATGTTTTTGCCAAATCTCATAATTCACCCTATATATTAGTGAAGAAGAGAAGAAGGCACTTTCTGGTGGTTATTATACAATAGTTAATCCCCTCAGGGGCCTCTATTCGTGCTAGGACTATGTACAGTACCCACCCTGTATGAGTTCTTGATGGTTTTTTCTTCACCATTATTTTTATCAAATCAGCAACATTTCAACTAAATAGTTTTTCGCAACTTTAGAAGTCATCTAGAGCCATAAGAAATATAAAATTGTACCGAGTGTCTTTTTAAGAGGTAGAGACCAACGATATGGCTCACCATGACAATTATTGCGACCTCTAGCGGCCGAACTAGAATAATCTGGAACTTGCTGCCAAATTTGACTTTTGAATAACTCATATTTTGGTCCGCTACTGATACTCTCGAATTTGATACAAATTTTTGAGTAGAGTTTAAGAAAAAGTAGAGTGAAGAATTCCAAAGTGGAAATATCCCACAAAAAAGTGGATTTTATTTATCATAAAGCCGTCAAGTAATGTATGTACATTCCAGCTGCTCGCTATGTCGGTATTTTTTGTTCACTCGGTTTTTTCCCAAGAGTAGGTAAATTTGAATCAATTTTTCTAATTCTTGAGAAAATGGATTCCCGCGAGCGCATTCCTCAATTATTCAATAAGTGCAGGAAAATAGTTGAGAAACTATTCATAGTAAACAACTAAAGAGAACGTACGACTTTTATAAACATAAACAAAAAAAAATACTATAGACGTATATATGTTTTGATATATGCTTATACTATAATCTCCCACGATATATCCCGCCCCCTCCTACTGACATTGATAATAACGTGCCACTAGATTGTTAAAAAAAATACTCGGCGTTATAATACAGAAATCACTATCATAAATAAATAATTGCCAACCATGGTGGTTCCCCATCCGCGGAGGGGTCTTATATCTATCTATCCATTTCAGCTCGACTGACCGCGATTTCCAATGAAATTCTAGTCCGCTGATATCTAAACCCCAAAAATATCCGAATGTATCTCCCATCACCATCGTGAAGTATGATTGTTCAATGTTTTCGATGATTCATATTTACAAAAGTTTGAAATGCCTACCGATAACATCCCAGCAAACATTAATATACATGGGGCAATGGACCATCACTTTTACTATTATTGCCTTAATATTGGCATTTTTCAATGGTTAATCACAAGACCACCAATATTGGCGAAGCAGTACTTTCATTTATTGCTTATTCATTATCAGCGAGGTGATGACTGACTGACTTATTTTCAGTGCAATTCCAATGAAAATTAAGTGGGTCAATCTCACACATAGAAGTTTGAGGTTATGTAGAGAAAATATCATTTTATTGTATTTATTAAATATAATGATAATAATAATAATTACTGCAATGAATCTTTTGGTATTCAGTTATATATCCACATCTCCAAGAGGTTCCGAATTCCGTTTCTGCTGATTGATAATGTATAATTTCTGGAATATCTGGAAAATGGCCCAAACTCGTGAACTTCTCTGCCTTGGTATCTGGAATGAACTATATATTTGTGAATTTCATGTTACCTCCCAAATCACAACTGCATAATATTACCTCTAGCCTGCTGCATCAATATAGTCATGTTGAAACTTCATGGTAAGTATAGGTAGGTAGGTACTAATATTTTAGCTCGATGGATGTTCTCGAAGAAGAATATCAGCTCATACAACAATACATCTGAATTCGTTATTATAATGATGCACTCATACCACTTTTATATCTATTCACTTGTTCACTTCACATAATACAATAACATATGACGGCTCATGCGCAAAATGAGAGAAAAATAGTACAACACCTAGGGAATAAAGTTGTATTTTGAATCCCCAGACAAAAAGTTAGCCCGACCAACGGGAGGGGTATAATTTGCCGAGGGATTTGAAAACACTTCAGTCCCAAGGTGTATATACTATTTTATGCACTCCTGGATAGGTAAAACTTTATAGAAAAAATAACGAAAAAGAAATTAAATGCTACTAAACGGTAGTTACTCTGCTTTTGGGTGTATGTTAAATTGACATTCATCATACAGGGCGTGGAAAGAAATTCTGAATTGAGACTCTATCACGAATCTGCGATTAGAGGTCTATAAAAATCACAAGTTTTCATCGTACAAGTTTAAACCCCCTGATTGGGTATGAAAGTGTTGAAAAGGAATATTCTCAGATAGATTATGAACATACAGAAATGCATATATATTTATATAAAGCAATACATTGAGAATTCGCATTCTCTATGTGATGAGAATATCAACTCTGTTTCAGTTTATTCAATAGAAAACAACTACTTTCCTGGCTATATGCCACGACGAACATTGAATTATATCTATTGAACACACACGATAAGAGTTTGAAAATAAAATATAAAATCTTCTGAAATTGAGAATTTGCATTCTCCTTCAGACAAAAATATGTATTAGATCGGCAACTGAAAATCTTGGTGTGTTATGACAATAGTAACTAAGTAAATCATAAATAAATAAATATATCAGTCAAACACGCCACACCGATTGAAAAACGTTGACCGCGATGGAACAAATCGAAAAGGCAGCTCAAGAAGCTGAAGGCCAATTATTACCAAGAAATTCTGGAGACAACAGAATAATCTTTTTCAAAAAAATATTATTGTAGGTTTTTAAAATGGTGAACTCTGGTGGCTGAGGACCTGTATCCAAAATGCCCCTTTAAAAAAAATCGAATTTCAACAATGTAAAACTAGAGAAGAGTTTTTAAAGAACTATACTGGTTTCAACTGATATCACTGTCCAACGGTTATATCCACATTTTGGCTGTTTTTGCAGGATATCAAATGTTGTTTTTCTGATTCTTCTTGTTTTATAAATAGCATATACAAGTATGTCATTGAAGCATTTGTTTTGTTTCCTGTAGGAAAAATAACGTTTCTCACATTCATTTATATATCGTTGAGCCAAGATCCTTTGACACCACTTCCATTATCTGGTATAATCTAGTGATTTGAATTGAAGTTAAAACCACCAGAAAATCACTAGATTCGCCTGCGGAGCACATTTCTCCGATTCCGTCAGGTTTGATGGTTTCTGGTGTTTTTCAGGTAGCCATTTTGCGACTTTGAGTTGGCAACACTGAATAGTAGTCGTAGGAAAAATAAATATAAAAATCCACACCTTGTGCTTTTTCGCACGTGTCCAAACTGTTAGTAAGATTATCTTATCCGGAATAGAGTCATTCCCAGAAATCGAAACGGTGATACGGTAAATAACAGGCGACTCTCTTTAAATTCGGCTCGCTCGGTGTATCCATCGTTATTCCACTAAAGAACACCAACAATAAAACATCGAAAAAACTTTTTTTTTTTTTTTTAAGAAAATGGTTGTGCCAATAGAACGAGTGTCGCGTGCAGAAAAGCCCAAAAAATACATCGGCAACAACCTGAACGTGAGCTTGATCAGCAACAGGACCGGCCTTCATATAACCGGAAACAACTGCAACGTGAAAATAAGTGAAAACAGCGCCCCAATCAAAATAATAGGCGACAATTGCCAATTAACAGTCCTAAATGGCAGAGGCAGTATAGAGTACATCGGGAATTGCGGGAAAATCAACTTGGGCCCACAAGTGTCAGAAGACGTGTTGAGTTACATTGGCAACGAGGGAGAAATCTCTACCGTCAGTTTCGCAGAGGACTTTAAAAAGTGCGATGCCCGAGAATCTAACCCCAGCCCTAAAAACAATAGGGAAGGAAGTAGAGTGAAATGTGGCAACATGGCGGAATCCAAGGCCAGGATTAGTGTGTGTAATTCTAATGTGATCAGGATAACGACGTCCTGTATACCGGACAGCATCAACATCTGTATTCCTAGCATCAGGATCGGTGGAAAGAGGCATTGTCATAGTCATATTAGTCATAAACATTAGTGACGAATTTTGTGTTTCCGTATCAGTATTTGCAGTTTCAGGACTATGAATAGTATGAATTATGTCCTTTAGTCCCGCCAGACAGGGATTTAAGTGACTGAGTCAATCCATTAACATTAATGTTCCTATTTTAGCTAAGTGACTTTATTAATCCAAAGAAAGCTAACAAAATAATCAACTGATAGTAAATTCAAATTGTATCTGGCAGATTTTATGGTATATAAAATTAAGTTTTTGAACTAGGTGAATGAGAACATGTTTGAAATTGCTATAGCTGTCCTAATTTTCTTGTTTTAGAGAAGTATTTCTTTGGGACATTGTGGTATTGCCTGTATATTTCAGTTCAACTGAATGAAGTTATTTTTAAAGTTAGGTATTTTATTTTCTTGCCGTAAACTGAATAGTTCCTGTTGAATATCACCCATATGTTGTACATAGTATTTATTTGTATTTATTATCTACTTATTTTGAATGAATACCTCCAGGTCATTATTTTGATTTCATGAAAAGACTGAAATACACATAATGTTCTCCTTATACTTATTTTTCATTTTTTCCTTTCCTGAAAAAAAAAACAAAAATTAGAAACGATAAAATCTACTTTTATAGCCTTCAAGTTATTTGTTCAATACTATCGAAGTTCAACCTGTCAATATCTCTATCCTATCTATATTTAGAAACAATTTTTTATAGAACATCTGATTTTTTAAATTCCTGCTTACCTATCAAATACAGTTCAGAATCATTTGAAAAAGCAAAATATAATCAAACCTAATTCGAAACTCAAACTAAAAATATCTACCCATGATTTAAAATACAAAAAATAGGTACCTAAAATTAACAAACAACACAACAAACCTGATGTTAAATATGATTATCATTACTAAGCGGCAGGGAAAGTGGCTTTTCCCTGACACTAAACAGGCAGGAAATGTGTACTTTCTCTGTCTAGGAAGGAAAAGTTTGTAGCTATGCGACGATCCAAGAAAGAATTACATTGGTAATCAAAATTGACACTGACAATGGGTGAACACAAAATGATGGAGTGTTCAATAACAAAATAACACAATATAGTAATTTACGTAACAAGTCTGGAAAATTCTGTTTTTTTGGACGAGTAGACAAAATTCTAAGCCAAGCCGTAGGCAACCATGTAGAATATGAAATCAATGAGACACATTTCCATATTTCTTTGTAGAATATACAATTTCTTTTTTATTAATTCTCATTTGTATCAAATACTGAAATTTGAACAGAATACCTATACCTAGTAACTGTTACATTGGAAATATGGACATTTTCAAACTCACTATCGCAGCTGCTTTCGATAGTTTATTGCGATAATTGCAACCAAACTTTCAAAATTCAAAATGTCAACTAATTTCATGTCAAATAGCTGTCAGCCGATATTCCGCTGCTATGGTAATTATCATCTGCATTTATCAAAAACATATCTACCAAGATTTTCATAGTTACAGTGACAACAAAGATGTGATACTTTCCGAACTAGGCCGGAAAAATGCTAAAGACGGACGGTTGCCGAAAAACTTAGTATCATTTCCAAATATAAAACTTATAAAACTAATTTTGTGTAATTTTTTACTGGAAACTCAATTATTTTGTGTTCACCCAATGTCAGTGTCAATTTTGAAAACCAATCTCATTCAAATTATTTGGAACGTTGCATGCCAACGAACTTTTTCATTCCTAGGCAGAGAAAGCACAACTGTCCTGCCTGTAAAGTGTCAAAGAAAATCCACTTTCTATGCCTCTTGGAGAAAAAATAGTTTTCCAGTGGATAAAAAAAGAAATTACTCGGGAAATCTATGGAATAATAGTACTTACTATACGCAAAAAGTATCTTTTATTGTTACAGACAACTATATGAAAATACTGAAAAATTACGTCATGATTATTATGACATCTCAGCTTCCGAAATCTAGCTGATAAGAAATCATGTGGTGCAGAGCTTTTTCGTTGATTCTGAGCATAAGTTGTCCAATCCCAATATAGAGTCTATGTGCTTGAAATTAAATTATTTACTTGGATCATCTTGGATCAATAAAAGAAAAGATAGTGATGGCGTGATTAATAATTTGCAGATAGCGTGTCGAAAAAAATACCGAAATATTGCGAAATGCTTGATTGAGCGAATTACCGCCATCTGATCTGTGCATCTGATTCATGATTCATCGAAACGTTCTTATTTCCACAAAATTATGTCGAGATGATACCCACACTATCTCATATCTTTTTAGTTCTCATTCGATTTGATAGATATTCGTTGAATAAGTGTACAATCATGGGCGCCGTCAATTGGGGGAAAAGAGGGGCAGTCGCCCCCTCCTGGATTTTAGTTCTTTCAGTAGGTAGTTGCTCACATGAGAGTCTCGTTTTCGTGAGACTCATAGTGTGAACTACTTCTTCAGTCTGAACTCAAATAGCACAAATTTTAAATGCCAGCTAAGATGATCTCAAAGGCAATCGTCTTTTAGAACTTTCAACCATGTGTCCTTTGTTTTTGTGTTATGTTTTTCCACCACTAGCTATAAAACCTACCATTATTTACTACTTTTCGAGGCTTAAAGTGTGTTTTTACTACCAAGGTAGCTTTCGTCATTTTATGATACAGACAAAGCCACCTCTTCGAATAAGCCTGAAGACGGTTTCGAAGCCTGAAGACGGTTTTTATTATATAAATATTCTTCTAGAGATTTTTCAACTTGAGGATTTTTTTCTGTCGAAACTATTCATCATTGGTCAGAACGGTTTACATGTCCCTATCCTAACTTTTGATTTACTATATCTACTGACATTCAATTGGAACAGATACAGGTTGATCGTTGATCAGAATTCCGAATCTTGAACCATCCTGTCAGTAGACAAGGAAGCAGTTTTGACCGATACCTGAATAGTTTCGACACACTACTATCTTAAATAAGTTGAAAAATCTCGTTTTTGAACACACTATATATCTCTGAAATCATTCCCGCCAGACGCCTTGTGTGATATATCGATGAAGGATAAAGTCATATCTTCAGGGGGAATCTAAAAATACAATGGAACACAGCAGGATATTCTGTTTGAAATAACAAAGCTTTTGCTACTTTTCGATGGAAGCGGCAACACCGCAATATTTTAAACGAAGAGCATAATCTCAAATGCACATTTTCACAAATTTCTTGCCACTGATTCTCGATATAAAGAAAATGTAAGCTCGTTATGACATCTCATCTACCCTAGATAATGAATGACCTATGACCTATCTCTCGTTGTATAATATAAATATATATGGATTTATTATAGGTGGGTACTCCATATTTACCTCCCTTCTGTTTAGTGATAGAGCGTAAGAGAGAGAGAGAGAAAAAAAATCTGTAAAAAAACAATCGACCAGTCTATCAGCCTTTTATCTATTTAAATTTTTTTAATTGTTTTGTTTTCAAAATTTTCGGTTTTCAGAATGAGGGGTTTTTCGGAAATATTTTATTTGTGATATAGTAACTTGTGTTTCACACAAATTAGTATAATCACTGCATTCTGCAATCAAAATACCTATACATACAAAATACTTCAATGCACGATCCGAGGCACAAATTGAAACAAATACCGATGTAATGATGTTTTAAAATATTTTAATTTGAACCTTGTACATTTCCACATTCATATAATCAACTGATTATGATAAAATCACTCTAGGTACACGTTGACATATGAATACCCACTTTCAGAAATATACAGGGTGATTCAAAAGTAAGCGGCATCCTTTCAGAGGCGTATTCCTTGCATGAAAATAAGGCAAAAAGTTCCTATTGATAAGGATCCGAAAATGCTTCCTAAGGGAGCTACGGCCCTTTGAATAGGACACCTCAAAGACGGTTTTTTCTCTATAACTTTAAAATCCTTCACAACAAATTTTTAAAAATTGGTGTACGGCATAAACATTCGATGGTAAATAGGACTCCGTATTCGAAATAATTTCCAAACGAAATCACAGTAACCTGAATATCCGGAGAAGAAGGGATATTTTTACACTTACCCTCTCCCGCATGTGACGCCCCTGAATGAAATTCTGAAATTTCGAATACGGAGTCCTATTTACCATCGAATGTTTATGCCGTACACCAATTTTTAAAAATTTGTTGTGAAGGATTTTAAAGTTATAGAGAAAAAACCGTCTTTGAGGTGTCCTATTCAAAGGGCCGTAGCTCCCTTAGGAAGCATTTTCGGATCCTTATCAATAGGAACTTTTTGCCTTATTTTCAAGCAAGGAATACGCCTCTGAAAGGATGCCGCTTACTTTTGAATCACCCTGTATAATATTCACACATAGATCGTTTTTTGCCAAATTTAATCAGAAAAATGAATGCATCAGAGTTAATAGTCGGAAGAAAAAATGGATAATATTCAGTTTCTTCGCCACATTTTCTGGAAACTGAATATTTTCCATCGGAAGCAGAAACTTTTTTCTGATTTAACAAACCCAATTTCTATTATAACTCCACCAGCGGCTTCTACGACTAAAAATAGGAAGAACATAAGTTGAAAAATGTCTCCTAAGGAAGCTACGGTCCTTTGAAAGGGGGCTACTGAAAATGATTTTTCTTGAATATTTCCGAAACGCCATGTGATAAATTGATGCAATTCGGTACAAAAACTATCTTTCCATGCACAATGCAGTGAAAATAAAATAATTCCAAAATTTCATTCATGTTGCTAATAATTTATTTGTATCCATATTTTTTTATTTAATCTCGAATTATAAAACTCCACATCTCTTCACAGAGAATAAGAAGGTGTTCTTGTTCCGTATTGTATGTATATACTATGCAGAACATTGCAATAGATGAAAAAAATTCACAAAAATTTAAGTAGTTTTTTATCAGTATTTTCCAATTTTACGCGCCTCTATGACATTCTTTCGTGCAAAGAAAGTATTTGTTTTTGTCATAGCCACTATGATTTGATAATTGACAACGTTATTCATAAAATGTGAGATGTAACAATATTTCTAAATCGATTTCACTCGAAAATGATACCGGATATTCAACAAAAATTGAAAACCACGTGACAGATTACTATGCAACCGAGAATACAGTCGTATCAATCATTGCTCAAAACCCGTAACATCTGATCGATATGGAACAAGAGCACATTTTTTCTGTGAAGAGATGTGGAGTTTCATAATTCGATATTGAGATGTCGAAGTATATGCATACAAAAAGTTTTAGCAATATTTAATTTAGTGCCACCCTGTATTAGACACTCCTGAAAAAAAAAATTGGAATGATTTCATTTTCACTGCATTGGGCATGGAAAGTTTAAATACTGTCTGTAGGTCAATCGAGGAGGTGGTATATTCATTTATAGAAACGAGGAAAGAAAATCCCAAAAAATCACGTAAAATGAAAGGAAAGTTTAGTTTTTGTACCAAATTGCATCATTTTATCTTATGACGTTTCGGAAATATTCAAGGAATATCATCTTCAGGAGTCCCCTTTCAGGGAACTATATACAGGGTGTTTCATTGGGAAAGG